GCTACATGTGCGTATTTGTTTGTCCTTGTCTAACGCGCCTCATCTGGTTATCTGTTAATGAATCTGCGACACGAGCGCGCGGAGTTTACAAATGTCCGCTCTGCACCGGTATTCAAGCAGGAGCGATATATCCGTCTTCATAACGACAAGTAAACTTTGATGTAAACTCTGCGATATTATTTACGGCGAGTTGGTTAGCGTATCAGTAACTAACGCAAATCAATTTCTATAATTTATCCGTGAGGGTGTTGTCCGTCCATCTGTTAAATTTTTTTTTCACGGCAGTTAAACGGCTTTATATTCCAGCAGTAATCTGATGACATCTGTGGCATTTGTGCCAATGAGGAAAATATATAAACGTCGGTTTAGGAGAGTAATTTCTATTAATCTGATTTTAGGATAGAATAGGATTTTATGAGTTTTTATTCCATATCTATCTATCTATCTATCTATCTATCTATCTATATAAACAAAACTGTAGTACTACAAGGTATGAATTAAGTTAAAATGCAAATTTAGAGCTTTTGGGACTATAGTAATCTCATTAAAATATTTACTGTCTCACAATGTATTTGTGTTGTGCTGAGTATGTATGTGGGAAAGGGAAAGGGAGAGAGAGAAAGAAGGATGAGAGCAATAGAGTCAACAGTCTGAACAAACACAGGGTACAGCTGTCAGCGGATAGATAACACACACACGCAGAGAGGAAAAAAAGAGCCGATGATGATGCTGATAACAATGAGAGGATTATGAACAATTTTTAAACCCGTCCAAATAGCTGCATATTTTTGTCCACGATTATGCATTTATTATTCTCTTTAAAGATCCTGAAACCAGATCAGAACGGAAAAGGGGGCTATGGATTCCCCTTCGGATCGATTTCATCAGCAGCTTTCCCAGATGTGTCCCTTCGAACTGTATCGCAGCCTGCCAGATTCCAACCCCTCAAGCCACCGATTTTCCCCCGGCAGCCTGTCTTCCCACCCGCTCTTCTCCCCTCTCATGCACCCCAACAGCGCATCCCAGAGGTGGGGTAGTTTCCGACAGCGCCAGGGCTTGTTCCCTGGGCTTCTAGTAGATGATGATGTAAGTGAGGAGGATGTGTTTGGGAAGAGAGAGTTTGCTGTTGGGGCTATGGGATCATCGCAGCGCTGTCCTGGAGAACGGGGACAAGGTTCGTGTCCCGATCCTGGCGACTGGGGGCAGGATTTTGCAAGAGTTAAGAGACTCAGGATGGACTCGGCAGCTAGAAGCGAAGAAGAAACGAGGAGAGAAGGGAAGAGGGGGAGGAAGAGTACAGCTTCGGTTAGAATGGACGAGAGGAAGGCAGCAGAACAAGCGAACAGGAGGGAAAGCAGGGAAGGTAGGAAGCGACAGCGGCAAGAACTGAAGCTCCAGCTGGAGGAAACCAGAGGGAAACTTCTGGAACTCCAACATAAGGTGTGGAAAGTGTACGGAGGGCAGGCGGATGACGAGAAAGGAGGAGAGGACGGGCCGATCAATCTCGATGAGGTTGCGGAGATGTTTTCCGACAGCGATGATCCGCTCATCGGCAGTGGATTTTCTCCTCCGCGCTGTTCATCTAAGAAACCCAATGAAACCAATGGGAATGCCGGGATGTTTCCAGAGACCTCCGTGGACCTGGATTTGGAGTTAAATGGCGATCAGGTGTGGCTGGGATGCAGCCTGGTCAGAGGTGAGTGGGAGAGCGCAGAAGGAGGGCAGAAGTTTGCACAAGCTCTAAAACAAGAGCTGGCAAATGTTGTGGCTCAAGTTATCGACAGAGTTGTCCGCCACTATGCCGAATCCGACCCCTCTGCAGTCACATCCACCGCCGTTCCTCAAGAAACCAGCATGACGTTGGATCTAAACCCAGACCGGAGGCCGAGAATTTATGTGGCAGAGCAGGTGGAAGCATTGCCTCTTATCACAAAGAGTCCTCAAGACAAGAGGGCCCCTATTGCTCAGAGTGTACACAAGGACCTCCTCCTCCCTCAAGCCAATCCCAGCCTCGCTCCGCTACCCCAGCCTCCTCTCCCGGCTCTTTTACCCCCTAGGAGCAAAGAGCACTTCCTGCCCTCCTATCCCCCAGACAACCCCGTTCCCCTGCCCCTTCTTCACTACACCATGCAGAATCTCTTTACCCGCTCCCTCTCCAGTTTGCCTCTTCATAAGAACTGCCTGTCTGAGTCTTTCATGGACTTCCGTTCACACAACTCTGCGTTCCCACCCCTCCCGTTGCTGGGCCAGCTAGACCCCTCTCCGTCGGATAGAGCGAGGGAAGGAGGGATGAGAGGAGGTGGAGCAGGAGTGGTGGATGGAGGAGATGCAGCACTCTATCTTGCTGCTGGGTCAATATCCTTTTATAAAAGCTGTGAAAATGGATACACATGTATAAATGTATATATACACACTACTGTGCAAACGTTTGGGGTCACTAAGATATATATTTGAAAGAAATTAATAGTTTTAATCAGCAAGGATGTTTTAAATTGACAGTGAAGACATTTATAATGTCGCTCAATATTTCAAATAAATGCCATTCTTTTGAACTTTGTATTCATCAAGGAATCCTGAAGAAAAACAATTCTCGGTTTTCACTAAAATATTAAGCAGCACAACTGTTTTCAACACTGATAATAATAAGAAATGTTTCTTAAGTAGCAAATCAGCACTAGAATGATTTCTGATGGATCATGTGACACTGAAAACTGGAGTAATTTCTGCTAAACATCCAGCTATGTCATTACAGCAACATAAAATAGAAAACCGTTGTTTTAAGTTGCAATAATGTTTCACAATATTACAGTTTTCCAAGTATGTTTGATTAAATGGCTATGGTGAGCATGAGACATTTACTTAAAAATTATTTAAAAAAAAATATTGCAGTCCCCTAACATTTGAATGGTAGTATACATGTATTTATATATTTGAAAGAAATTAATAGTTTTAATCAGCAAGGATGTTTTAAATTGACAGTGAAGACATTTATAATGTCGCTCAATATTTCAAATAAATGCCATTCTTTTGAACTTTGTATTCATCAAGGAATCCTGAAGAAAAACAATTCTCGGTTTTCACTAAAATATTAAGCAGCACAACTGTTTTCAACACTGATAATAATAAGAAATGTTTCTTAAGTAGCAAATCAGCACTAGAATGATTTCTGATGGATCATGTGACACTGAAAACTGGAGTAATTTCTGCTAAACATCCAGCTATGTCATTACAGCAACATAAAATAGAAAACCCGTTGTTTTAAGTTGCAATAATGTTTCACAATATTACAGTTTTCCAAGTATGTTTGATTAAATGGCTATGGTGAGCATGAGACATTTACTTAAAAATTATTTTTTAAAAAATATTGCAGTCCCCTAACATTTGAATGGTAGTATACATGTATTTATTTGTTTGTTTGTATCAAGCATTCCTTAACCATCTACACTCTCAGGAAGGTCTCTCTCCGTGCCACCTGAAGAAAGCCAAACTCATGTTCTTTCACACACGCTACCCCAGCTCCAGCACACTCAAGACATATTTCCCTGATGTCAAAGTGAGCATCATTCATATCCTGAACACAAAATAGTATAGCTGTGTGTGCATAACCTGCATAAATTATATGGGCTAATGACTTATTGAATGAATTTACACTGACCTATATACAGCAGTGTGGCATGGTTTCCTTTTGAAACACTTTGGCTCAATTAGAACAGTCAGAAAATGTTCCTGCATTTGTAATAAATGAATATCTATGGAATTTTTATTGAAATTATATGTATTACATTAAAGCTGTATTGGTGTATTTTACGTTAAACATCACACAGTGTCTTTAAAACATTACACTAAAATGTGCTGACTTATAATCATTATATACCATCTTTTGAAATGCTGCCGGAATTAACTTGGCGTTTCTGTTTTTCTCTACACAGTTCAATCGCTGTGTCACTTCCCAGCTGATTAAGTGGTTCAGTAACTTCCGGGAGTTCTTCTATATCCAGATGGAGCGCTTTGCCCGTCAGGCAGCCAGAGAGGGGCTTGCATCTGCCAGGGAAAGCGCACTCCACCTGGGCAGAGACACTGAGCTCTACCGCATTCTCAACATGCACTACAATAAGAGCAATGATTATCAGGTCAGTGCGTGCATGTGCACGTGTGTAAAGGCTCGAGTGGTGCGTGTAACCTCTCAATTATGTGTATAAACATCATGTGCGTTTTCTAGGTTCCAGAGAGGTTTGTGGAGGTATCTGAGGTGGCCCTGAGGGAGTTTTTCTCTGCCATACAGAGTGGTCGGGATGCTGATCCATGCTGGAAGAAGGCCATCTACAAGATCATCGGTAAATTAGACAGTCCAGTGCCTGACAGCTTCCGTCTGCCTGGCTGCCCCACGGACTCTTACCGGATGGGTTAAACAGAGTTTATCACACACACACACGCACAGCCTCATAAAAACACTGTGTATGGATTGATATCATAAGTGTGCACAGAACAGTTAACAATTTGAATTAATGGCAAAGAACGAATAAAATACAAAATTGTGCCGTAAAGATTGAGAACATTGAATAAGTGGTTTATCATCATCATCATGATGCTCTAAAGTATTTCTTGTTTAAACATTATCTGACTGATAATTCTACTTTAGTCCTGCATTATTCCAGTATGCACTGAAAAGCTTTCTAAATAAATTGAAAAAATGTTCTAATTTGATTTGCTGTTACATTAATGCTTAAGTTATCTGAAAATGCAGGCCTGGTTGTCTTATGATTTTTTATATTACTTGTTACTTGTTATATAATGTTGCCGAGTTTCTGTGAACCTGTGGTGTCGTGTAATAAAATAAGTCAAACACTCCTTGCTGTCAGTCAATGCTACAATTTAGTGCTAAATGCGTATTGTAAAATGCACATGCAGCCTTACATGACATATTATTGGCCGAGTACACTAAACAACATGATAATGTCATATGCTCTACTGTGGGAGAGTACAAAGACCCTGGCTCTCAAATGATAAAACTGACAGTTACTTACCCTGAAGCACCTGACTGCAAGTCAATACAGATGGTCAGTACTAGATTTGTGTTGTTTTACAGTAAAGATTGGTTGACTAATTATTGGAAGTGTTGAGGGCTTTTTTTGCTGTGTGGAAACTAAAATAGTTTAATTACAAGTGATGAGGTCTTGATAATATCATAGTTAGCCTCTGTTACAATCTCACAGGTATCTGCTGTTTGTTATTTCACATAGAACGCTATAACAGACTTCACCTTAGTGTTACACGGCGCTTTGTGCTCGGAAACACGGCAAAATGCACGTTTCAAACTTTAATAATGTTGGATGAAAACTTGTTCGAAAGACCCTGGCTCTCAAACGATAAAACTGACAGTTACTTACCCTGAAGCACCTGACTGCAAGTCAATACAGATGGTCAGTACTAGATTTGTGTTGTTTTACAGTAAAGATTGGTTGACTAATTATTGGAAGTGTTGAGGGCTTTTTTTGCTGTGTGGAAACTAAAATAGTTTAATTACAAGTGATGAGGTCTTGATAATATCATAGTTAGCCTCTGTTACAATCTCACAGGTATCTGCTGTGTTATTTCACATAGAACGCTATAACAGACTTCACCTTAGTGTTACACGGCGCTTTGTGCTCAGAAACACGGCAAAATGCACGTTTCAAACTTTAATAATGTTGGATGAAAAATTCCAGTATGCACTGAAAAGCTTTCTAAATAAATTGAAAAAATGTTCTAATTTGATTTGCTGTTACATTAATGCTTAAGTTATCTGAAAATGCAGGCCTGGTTGTCTTATGATTTTTTATATTACTTGTTACTTGTTATATAATGTTGCCGAGTTTCTGTGAACCTGTGGTGTCGTGTAATAAAATAAGTCAAACACTCCTTGCTGTCAGTCAATGCTACAATTTAGTGCTAAATGCGTATTGTAAAATGCACATGCAGCCTTACATGACATATTATTGGCCGAGTACACTAAACAACATGATAATGTCATATGCTCTACTGTGGGAGAGTACAAAGACCCTGGCTCTCAAATGATAAAACTGACAGTTACTTACCCTGAAGCACCTGACTGCAAGTCAATACAGATGGTCAGTACTAGATTTGTGTTGTTTTACAGTAAAGATTGGTTGACTAATTATTGGAAGTGTTGAGGGCTTTTTTTGCTGTGTGGAAACTAAAATAGTTTAATTACAAGTGATGAGGTCTTGATAATATCATAGTTAGCCTCTGTTACAATCTCACAGGTATCTGCTGT